AAAACCAACAGATAGATACACAATTTGACGACGCCTCCGGTCTATTGAAGAAAAAAACACATATATGTTTGACAAATCAAGCAGTTCAAATGCCTCACAGAAGAAAAAATACAATGCAAGAGCAAAAAGTAAGCGTATATTCTAGTATATGTTACATACTATGCTTTCGAATTTAAGCTACTAGGCATTAATATATTGTCTTTTTAAATTCTTCCAGAAAGCCAAAGTGTCTGCAACCAAACATGTTTCAAATCCTCTGATAGAACAAACGTTGATAGCAATCAAAGACATGATTGGGCTCTGAATGATATAACAAACACTCGGTTTGAGAATCAAAGACAGGCTCGGCTCCATCGGAGGAAGCTTTTATTAGCAAAGCAAATGAAACTAACTAAACAGTCAGGTAAACTTTCAAAAAACTATCATTTTCCAAAACAAACCATTCATACATAATATACGTACCAATTGTGGCTGTGACTTATTCTTGCTTGCCCATCTGACCAGAAGAACACCGCAAGCCCTGAAGCTTCTGCGAGTAAGTATCATATATCAGGTTTTAATTAAAAGTCAATTTCTCATTCTTATAGATTATTTGTGTGTTTACTAGCAGGAGTAACTAGTGAATCATCAAATCATGCAAATGGTACTAAATTTGGTTGTTCAAATTCTAATGTTTTAATCATGCAAACATATATCAGCTCGAATAACAATAACTCTGTCATTTTGATTCATACCATCACCATATTCAAGAAAAACAGCTTACTTTTGACTTGCAGGAACCTAACCAGACCATTCAACTAAGATAAAGATGATTACCAAACAAACATGTTTGGTTGGTTTAGCTTTGTTATTTCATTCTATTTTGATTTCTTTAAATTTGATTGAATTTTCTCAAATAATATCAATAAAACAAAATCAATAACTGTAAGAGCCTATGTCTGTATATGATTGTCCAAGAGTATGCAACCTAACAAAGAAAAAAAAACTATTGAAATATGTACCAATCAGTAAAAGCTTTTGGAAAACCTCATAGCTCTTAACATAGGATTTAGGCTTCACTTACATTGAATTGTAAACCCAAAGTCCCAAGAATTTGAGGAAAAAAGGCAAAAGTAAAATCAATTTCAGAAATCAGAAAGAACGAATCCCACAAGTATGAATCGACGAAAGGGGCTCAGATCAGGAGAGTATACACATATAACGTGCGGAAACCAACCGAATACAAGAGATACGCATCTGAAAGAG